CTTGCTAATTAAGCGAAAAATTCCAAACTCTACAGGAAATTCCGCCAATGTACTGTTTTGTTTATGAGAAAAAATGGATTATGAAACTTTCATCAAAATTTATATATAGCATTTTTTCCAATTCAACTTGATCTGTGGCACTTAAATTTGGATTAAAAAATACACAAAAATTAGAGTAAATAGCTCTAAGTCTTGGCTCAAAAGTTCTGAAGCGCTCTAGTAGATGGCTTTAATAGAATAATTTTAATTTAATTTTAACGTTGCAGAAACGTGATGTTCACGCTAAACTGTCAAGCGCAAGAACTTTGCTCCTGTTAATCCAAATCACACAATTCAAACAACATTGGATTCGAAATGATTAGCTCCAGTGCAAGAAAGTGTTTTTAAAGCTTCAGATGCCTCAGGTCACCTGCTGACCTCTTGACCTTTATCTTAGATTAAGTATTAACTTATATCATAATTTATAACTTTTTTTGCTGATTGCAAGAAACCTTCTGATGGCCGTGTCAAAAATTTTGCACTTATATAATTATATTTTATAAAATTAATAAATAATTTAGGAGAATAAGTTAGGAGTGCATTCTCTTGCTATTCGTATATACCTGTTCTGAGATTTTCAACTTTTTCTAGTCCCCGTGTATTGCCTGTTTTTGTTGTCTCTATTGTTATCGTGGGTCGCCTATACCTGGCATGCTTCTTTCTCGATGCTTCTTTCTCGTCTTCCAAGCACAAACCATTCTTGTCACTAAAGTAGTCAGCTGCCAGCCATCCTCTGGTTTTTGTAAACAAGTCAATGCATTCAGTCTACAATCTGATCGCGGCAAATATGATTTGAATTTCCATAAAAATTTACAATTCATTTACATTTATTTGATAATTCCAATTAATATAAATTATATAAAAAATATTTTTTTAGGGCCCATTTTCAAATTTTATTCAGATAATAATTAATAATTTAACCATGAATAAATTTTTTTCTCCAATTGCGTAAAGTAAGCAATTCGATTTTGATGTATTGAATTGTCTTAGGATGTTTAATTTCAATATATCTAAATGAAAAATAAATAAATATAAATAAAAACAAATTTATTTGTAAAAATATAAAAGAAAATGGTAAAAAGTTCTGTCGCGTTTTTATATTTGAACATAAAACGACAGGGGCTTGGCGCGGCGGCCGTCACTAAATATCTGCGTTTCGCGGTCAAGCATTTTTGTCTCGTGGCCGTTTCTCTTCCCTTTTGTAAATCCTATTATTACACGTGAGTGCACAAGGAATATTTTTTGTGTGAAAACAAGAAAAGGGATGTGGAAAACTTGCTTTGTTGCTGTTGTTGCTGCTGCGCGCAGTGCTCTCAGCGGGAGAGGCAGGACAGGAGAGAAGTTGAAAGGTCCCAGCTCAATCAACCTTCGAGAGCCACCGAAATGCGCTCTCATATTATTATTATTGTTGGAGGAAGAAAAGTGCATGAGTTTTGGGTCCCAATTGAAATTGATTTTCTTACAACTAATATTGAAACAAAAAGAATATAATATATTAAGTGGTCTTGATTAAGACAATAATATGATGAAATATAAAAAAATAATATGCGTTAATGACCACACTATTTGAGAAGTTATGGGAATATAAGTTTTTTTCCAGAAATTAACTCGGACGAGGATATTTTATCAGCAAAAAATGTAAATAAAAATAAAAAAATAAAAAAATGAAGAAATTATCAACATGCGCAGTAAACCTTTCACACATTAATTATTTTGAAATTATTTTTAAATTAACTTTGGTGAAGTTAAATGTGCCAAAAAATCTATTATTTTTTTTTTTTAAATTGCTTGAAAGTTATATGAATATGTCTGGAAGTCATATTTAATTCCTTTTATGATTTATAATCATGAGCCATGCCACTCTTAATTTCATTTCATAAATCGCAAAAATTCAAGATGCTAGAGGGTAGGAGGGTAGGCAACATGAAAAGCATTAAAGCTACCCCAGTTGTCTACCTTCAGCATACCTGAGCATAACCTGGTGGTTGGTGGTGGGGACTTAGGGGAAGTAGCCAGCCACTCAGGAAGCTGCTTTCAACAGCTCCACCCCGAGAGCTCCCTATGCTTTTAACATGGGAGAGTGTAGTGGAAAAGTAGTGCAAAAGTAGTGTAAATCTTTTTCTGGGAGTGATTCATCTTCTTCCGTTGACAAGTACTCGGAACTTTCTGAATCGATTGATTCAGACATGCCTTCCAAGCTCTCTTCCAGTGCTAAAAACATTTAAAAATTGCTTTACCACAATCAATTTTTTTTTTTTAATTTAAACCTCACTTTGTAGTTATTGGTAGGCTTCAAATGCGTTTTAGAAAAGAGACGAGTTGCTCTGCACAGTCCCCGGGAAGGAATGAGAGAGAAAAATCGAGAGAGGCACTGAGGAACACATTTCTTTGTTGTTGTTTTGCTTTGGGTGACAACAATGGGATGCTCCCACTACACTTGAAGAAATAACATAAAAGACCCTATAGCTGTGCTGCTTTTGGAATGTTCTATCACTAATATATACAAGCACAGCTTCTTATCATTTCTCACAAATCGTTTAATACAGTGAATGAAAATTAGGAAAACTACCATTTAAAAATGTTTATCAAATTTTGTAGTAGAAGTTCACGATTGAGGATTGATTCATGGTGATTTGAATTTAAAATTTGGCTTTTCCTCGGTGTTTTTCTTAAACAATAAAAAACTCACAGAAACCCATCAAGTAAGAGCTGAATTTTATATTCAAATCACCATGTTTATCAAATTGATTTTAGTGCAAACGGATGATGATAATCAAAGCGCACTGCCTAAATTACACTATAATCACTAAATCACCTGCTTATGCTTAATAACCGAATATCATGAGTTTGATCCTTCAGTGTCAATTTCCTGTCAATTTTCTTGTAAATTAATTTTATTCAAAATAAAATATGATTAAAAGAAAAAGAAATAATATTTTTTTCAATCAAAAATTACTGATAAATTATATTCAATGTTTTTTACGTTATTTCTATTCACTTTACAATGAGACACACTATTATCTATTTACTTTTAATTCTTTTGGAATATAGGTTGAAAATAATATACCTTTGAAAAACGTTTTAAACAAATGTTCAAGCATCTTTTTGCTTCAATAAATCTTGTTTAAATAGGGTGGACCTTTTCCCTTTTTCTCAGAAAGAAGCCAGAAAAATATTTAGCCACTCGGCGTGAAAATAAGCTTACTTTTTCTTTACTTTATGAAATCTGTCCGGCCGCGTGTTGTGTTCATCAAGCTGGAAAATACTTTTCGCTGACATGGGCTAAAAACTATCACCCAGAAGAAAAACATATATGCTCTCCTATGAGAGCTCAAGATGCATTTCTCACAAATGTGAATGTATTTCTTAAAACTCGTATAATTTTACAAGGTTCTTTTTCTGAGATTTCCGATTTTTCTCTCCTCCGCGATGTTTTCGGGTGGTCAAACTCATTGTTTGCGCTGAAGAATAGCTACCTGTGGTCATTCACAACAAGCATGAATAAAGACAGTGCCTGTCAACACTGCCCGCGAAGGGATTTTGGAAACACAGACTTAAGCATGAAAAGGGTGAGGAGATTATTTTATTCACATAAATTCTTGTTGGCGCCTCTTTCGTCTGGCCGAAAACTTCCAAATTTAATGTAATTAGTTTTGAATGAAAATTAGTGATATCATTCAATGTGTTAACCGCTTATTATTATGAACTATATTTTAATAAGCAAAAACATAGCTCATTAATCTCATAATTTTTTTTTTTTAATTGAATGAAATTAATAAAAACGGGAACAAAAGTCGGCTTTGAACCTAAGACAAAGTCGGCATTTGTTCACAATTTACTCCATTATTTTGACGAATATTCGCAATAGTGAATAATTAAATTAATTGAAAATAGCAATTAGCTGTTTGATTTCTATCGGCGGCTGCGGCTCGAGGAATATTTTCTTGGGGTGACTGACTTGAGCAATTTTTCAAAAATAAAAAAACCTTTAATTAAGTATGCAAGAAGAGAACATTTTTACGTGAAAAATAACTTTATTTAATATAATATTCAATTTTCTAATTAATTAACTATTGGACGATTCTACTTTAATAAGAATTAAAAAATTTGGTCGGCTTAAGTTGGTGTCAATATTTTTTTACATTTCACGTACTGGGCAGCCATCTCAAATTTTTGCATCCGCATTATTTTGATCATTATTATTATCTTCGTTGACTTATTGCATGACCCTTATTTTCATTACTTTCAAACGACAAGCGCAAAATTGCAGAGGGCGATTTGCACTCCTCTTGTCTTTTTCAACACACTGGCTTTTGCAATTGGTGTAATTTAATTTTGGGGCGCTGGCGGTCTGCGACAGCGTGATTGTAGAGAGCGCACTATTTTCCCAGTGAAATATAATATTTTCGAATTTGTTGTATAAAATTTTGAGATGCACGTAAGTTAAAAACAATTCAAAATTATGATAAATTATAACAATGTGTGTACAATATATTCGTATATTTTTCTCTTTGATTTTACTGAACTTATAAAATTGGGTAAATATTTGCTTAGCAGGTGGCTGGCTTGACTTGCCAAGACTGGCACTTTCACGAAAAATGAAAATTTTATTTATTTTGGAAATTGGTAACAACGCAAACACACCACAACTCTACACAAAAATTTACAAAAAAAAATTCACACACACACTAAAAAATTAACAAAAAAGTTTAATGTAAGTTGGAACTTTTGGTTTTCAAAATATTTAAGAGATGAGAGCCCTGAATCTGCAAGGTGGTTGGCGCTAGTTGACCAACCCTTCTCCTCCACCGAAACGCGCGCACCCACACCTGTGACTCACACCTTTTCCGCCCTCCATTCACAAAGAGCAACCTGGCCTGCTCTCTCTCATTTCTCGATCTGCTCTTTGCAAGTGCTAAAGGTCCCTTCTGCAAGGGAGTTTCAGAGTTTACCTTTTGAAAATGGCTAAAATAAGTGACCAAGACATTGTGAGCACTTTGATTGAATCAGACAGTGAATTTTCTGAAAATGGCGAGGACACTCTTGACCATGAGCAGCCCTGCAGTGGAACTGTAATCGAAAGAGCATCGAGGAAAGTGTACACAGTTCCCAATTTAAGCCAACATTTGCAGCCCCAAGATCGCCTTCCTTTCAAGAAAAATGTCTCAACGACCCTCTATGGAAGTGATAATGTCCTTGTGGATGTCCTCTCTTACGGTGGTAAGTAAAATAAATTATTCCCAAAAATTGAAACTTATTCAAATTGCAACGTTTATTTTTATTTGCAACGTAAAAATAAATCAAGACATATAAAATCAAATAAATTTTATTGGACGCTATTCAATTTTAATAAGATTAAAGAACCTAAATTTGCTAGAAAATTTTGTGTTTAAGAAAGTGATAGATCGCTGGCAGAAACTTTGGTGGAGTTACTTATTATACATCAAGATTAATGACGATGCGTATTTTCTATTAAGAATTTAAAATCTGCTTTCGTCGTTAACTTATGCTTGTTATTCCTGCTTATTTGAACGTTCTCTATCTGAATCACAGAAATTAATATACTGAGAGTATAATTCTCAGATTGTTATTAGTGTGCGTGTGTTTTTTCTGTTCCAATTAGTGTAGAGAAGTGTCTTTGTTTGTGTTGTTAAGTGTAGAGCAGTTTTAAGGTTAAAATTTTTAAGAGGGTTTTACGTGGTTTTACTGAAACTGTGAGAGAAAAACTTGGCTTTAAAGAATGGAATATACAAACCAAAATTTTGACTTTTACTAGCCATTTTAAAAATTAATTAATCAATCAAAGTCAAAATTTTGATTTGTATTCTATTCTTTAAAGCCAAGTTTTTCTCACACAGTTTCAGTAAAACCACGTAAAAACATCTTAAAAATATTGAGAGGCTTACTTTTTATCAATCGCTTGCGGCGCCACACACTGCTGTTTCGCACGGAAATACTTTAGGCATCTTTCGTGAAAACGCCGCGACTTTCGACGACCGATCTGCTCTCTTGACTAGCGTTTTCGCCCGACTACGGCAATTACCTCTGATATTCAAATTTATATACGACCGCATTTTTGCAATTAGAGTAAAACGAGATGTGCAAAGATTCACGTAATTATTGTGAGCTTTTTGAAATCTAAAATTTTGGTAATCTAAAATAAAAATTGAATTAAAATATGTAAAATTTTTAAAAAATTTTTCTTTTAATTTATCTGGAGGAAAACAAAAAATTATAAACGCCATGATAAAGACAAAAATACATATCTTATGATTTTCTATGAGCGCACCTAGTTCAGACGTCTCTATAAATTTAAGACTAAACTTGTTACTAAAAATAATTAAATTTTGTAATGCAAAAAATATAGAATAATTTTTTTTCGTTTGAATAAATTTTATGAGTAAAAACGAAGTTAAATAAATAATCTTAAAAATATATTTTTTTTAATTTTTAGGAGAAAGGAAATTTATCCAGGGATTAAATATTTTTGCAAAAAATATAATTTGCAGCTCATGAATTATGGCGGCGCCCACAGCCAAAACATATAAGCTTAGCAGGATAATTGACGAATCATAAAATCCATTTAGAAAGAGCCGACTGTAAAATCAACTCACCGTGGATCAACCATCGACAGTGAAATAGTAACAAAAGGGTTTTTCCATATGACTATATATATATATACAACTTGATTACAATATCGGTGATGATCTGATGATATATAACTTTAGGAAAGTGAAAAACCGTAGCAAATTTTGTATGTACTCTTCGATTAAAAATATCATGGGTAAAAATTAAATTTTAATAATTAAACAGACAAAAGTAAAAATTTCATAATAATAATTATAACTTGCGTTGTCAATTCCAGTGTTAAAGGACTAGAATAAGTATTAGCTCCAAATTTTAATACATAATTAGTTTCCAATGTACACTTTAAAATTTTCGTTTTTGTCATTTATTTGGATGAGTTCATGTATGGGGTATAGTTGCCTTAAATTCGAACCCAATAAACATTTCTTGAACCTAAATTTAATTTTTTTAAATTTTTGAATCATGAATTTTTACTACAATAAGTTTGCTTTCATGATATGTTATTAAAATTATTTTTCAATTCTAGGTGCGATGTACGCTGGTGCTAAAGCACAGTTCCAGAAACGAAAAGCTGAAGGACAGATATTAATTACATCCCCCGAACCTACAGTTGATTTTTCTCTGATTCTTGCGTCTGATGAAAGAGCCACTCACAATGTCTCTAAGAAGAAAAAAGGTCCTTCGCCTTTGAAGAAGCGTAAAAATATCAAACAGAAAAAAGGATCTAAAGCTGTTAAGAAGCTCCCTTATGACGACGACGTTGTGTCTTTGCAAAACCGGACTGCGGAAATAATAAATTCAAAAAACATTGACAGTATTGGGACTACTCATATCAATCAAGGTAAATATATTATTTGTTTGTTCAAATTTTATTAATCCTACAAACTTATTTCTCAATTAAAGAATCCGCTTCGCCAGGGCAGAGCAAGAGATTTAAAAAGAAAAATTCAAAAGCAATACTGGCACCAAATGAAGTAATCTATAATCATAAGTTTTTCTTCACTTCTTAAATCATTATTTATTCTAGTGGTTAAGAAATAAACTAGGCGATAGCGCTACTGTGGAGGCAACTAGAAAAATGAAGGACGTGTCACAAAGCGAGGGATACAGTGGCTTGAGTGTTGGAAAGAATGGTTCTCCTTTAAAACCAAGCGCTAAAAAACAGCTTAAATTTGGTAAAAAAAAATATGTTAATTACTTTTTACCTCCTTATTTCAATATCATTTTTTTTTCTATCTGAGAGCACAGATTTTTTTAAACGCTTAAAAAGTTATTTAAATATACTTGCAATGAGTTTTCTTTAGTTAAAAAAAGATTTTGTCTCAAAGTTTTTTAATAGCATTGCCAATAAAATAATTTCAGGTCCAAATTCCTTGGAAGAGACAAGCACAACTATTAGCGAACAGGGACCCGATGAGAAGCCTCCTAGAAAAAAGACGCAACCTGCTGAAGTTGGATTTCGATACTTAATTGGTTGTATGTTTACTGAAGAATACATAATGGCCCATAGCTACCATGGTCGCAGAATCAGCCCACCTCTAACATCTGCTGATAAATTTGGATTAAAAATGATCAGAGGTATTGAATATTTAATTAGTTTAATTATAACTTTAAATTCCTTATACACCAAATTAATTCTCCCAATAATTTCAGATTACTGTGAGTGGTATGTTCGTCAGTATGGCATTCCGTATGCTGAATCGCAAATCAAAATTGGAAAAGTTTATACTAAATACAGAGGCAATGTTAGAAACAAAATCAATAAGTGAGTATTCAAAACTTTTTATAGTTGATAATTTTACTCATATTGATATATTTTAATTGCCGCAGGAGAAGAAACTACGTGCCGAAAGCCCTGAGGCGTCCTCATTGAATATTGATGAAAATACTTTTCGCCATCGCAATGTATATTTAAATTAATAATAAAAATCTAGACATTTTATTATTGGCTTCTGCATTTTTGTAAAATAAAAAATTGAAATGTAACAGATAGTTAAAACAATAAATCTCTTCATTAAGAATTTACCACTCGCTCAGAAATGTTGAATAAATTATTTTATTTTATTTTCATCCAAAGGAAGTAAATTTTAATTTTAATACAAGGAAAAATAAATTTAAATTGAATAATCTAAAGATCATTATAAAATTAATTTATTTTATATTATTTATTTTATTGTATATCATTTTACCCACACTACACGCTATACGTGCAAACACGCAGTTCAAAAAATCATGCATTAACTGCCCTACGCGCCACCAGCATCCCCTTTTGACGATTCTTCAAACTTTTTGCGTCCTTCAAAGCCCACCCCCCAAGTCTGCTCAACTCCGAGCCCGTTCGGAGTGGGAAGTAAGACGAGCAAGGGGAAGCACCATAAGGAATACATTGGGACGATCTCACCCAAACCTCACCCAAACCTCACTCAAACTTTTTTCTGGGAGATTGGGCAAAATGTGTCGCGCATTCTGCAGATTCTGAAAAACGCTACCAAGCATCTGCCGCTTTTCCTCGAGGGGAACTTTCCTCCCTTCCTTCACGACCTTATTTCGGTTATTTATTCTAGTGAAGGGGCGCGTGACTTAATTTGCTCGAGGAATTCAAAGTGCTGGAAATTGTCTCATACATAACAAAAAATTCGGTCCCTTTGGCGTTCAAAAAACTGGAAAATGAGGAATTTTTTAATTTGGTAATCTCTCTTCTGCTTATTATCTCGTCTGGGGGATTTTCGATCTGGCGAGTGGAGAAAAATGCAAGTTGAAAATGGCGCGTACATCGTTGCGCTGATTGCAAAAGTTGTTTCTACTCGGTTGGCGCGGAATAATAAATAAACTAAACTCCAGCGGGCGAGCTTGTCGAGGCGGCATTATCACAAATCCCTTGAGGTCTGCGTCTGCTGCCACACAGCTTTGTTATGGCATTAAAAAGTTGAAGACAAATACGTACGCAAACGCGCGCGCTCTCGGGTTCCGCAGTTAATTTTTTTTCTCCACCAACAACCTACCGGCAACCACTCAAAAATAAAAAGAGCTCCTACAGCAGGCAGGCCGACTGAATTTCAATTTCGGACCACTATTTCCCGCAGCACCGAGAAGAAGATATTAACTCTGGCGGGTATAGCAGCTACGAGGAAGAAGCGGAAAAAATAAATCTACCTCCGCGGGGGCCGTGTTTTGAATACTTAAATTTTTTGTCTCAAACTTCAAACTGCCTCCGGAGGCAAGAAAAGTCGACGTGGTGACAACCCTGTGGCAGTAAAAAAAGTTCCACCGAAACGCCTAGAACAAAATAAAAAAAAAATCGGCGTGGTAATGAGAATGTTACAAATGAGGCTCTTAATTTGAAGAAAGTAAAACGAGTGTTTTAGCTAAATTTGTTTAACTATTGTCTCACTTCAGTTTATTTAAACTTTTTAATAAAATTTACTGAATTATAATTGAACTATATCTATGTGGTCATCGGCTGAAATATTTTTCAAAATTTGATTATCTAATATTTTATAATTATTATTTTTAAATTATTTGTTTTATATTAAAAAATTTTGATAGCAAATCATTTAAATTACTTTGTTTCATGACGTTTATTATTTTTGGTTTTTAAAATTTATTGGTCTTTAAAAACATTCTAGAACAGAGAAAGAAAGTATAATTTAAAAGATTTTTACTACAATTCCTTATTGTTAATTGTAATCATTAAAAATTACTATCAACATTTATTTTATAAATTTTATTAATGAATTAAACATTTAAATGATTGGGAAAAAATACCTAATTTTTCTTTAAAATTTACACTATGATATTGTGTTAATTTTCTTTGCAAACTTAAGAGTAATTCAATAAAATCTAGTGAAACATTCTTCAATTTCCAGTTTTGTGCACGCTCAGTGTGCTCAGCAGTCAAGTAATGAACCTTGGAATTCATAGCCGTGTTGGTTGACTGCTCGCTTTAGCAGCGAGTTTATTTTATTGCCGGCGCTCATAACGGAACGCGCGGCGGCGACAGCAATTTATTTCGCCTGACATTTGACCGCGGCGCAAGATATCAAAAGTTGCCGGTTCGCGGGCTATTTATCATATTCATGGAGTCGTGTAATTATGGCAGCTTTTGTGCCCGGCCAGAAGAACAAGAGCAACAAGAAAAATGGCCGCCAAGAGAGGGAGGATGGAAATTTTGCGTTTGGAGCCGTTTTTTGGCGTTTCGAATTTACATCGAGTTTTTCATTCTCATCCGTAATAGATTTCAAATTACCATTTTACGCAGAGGGTGGATAAAAAATCGCTCTTGAAATATTCAGCCAAGGAATTATTACCCTCACTTTTTGCCTCGTATTTGTTTGTTTATTTGTTTTCATTCGCGTGCTCCTATTTTGTGTGTTTGCTTGGGAAACAAAAAGAAACATATATGGGAATGGAAGGCAAGGAAAAAGGGAAAGCAAATGGAATTTCAGATGCAAACTCCCGTACGCAAACTTTTGGGCCTGATTGGCTGTCTGCGCCTCCGAGAAAAGGGCGGAAGGAAAAATGAATAAATAAAAAAAACATACAAATACAAGTCTGATCAAGAAGAACTTTTCCCCCTGCTGGGCAATTGTTAAAAAGTTTGGACCGTAATTCGTGTGTCTCAGTCAGAGATAATCTGCCGTTGGTAATGATGCGATTGCTTGTCAAAATCAATTGATGACCCGAAAATTGGAAAAGGCCTTAGGAAATTTGTCGGAGTAAAACTCGATTTGGGCGACGGGCGCGTGCGCCAGGGCCACCTCGCGAGAGAGCAACCATTTGGCTGTCGTAATTGCTTGTTAGCGCCGATTTTACGACACGTAAAAATGTGTAGCGTCAAATTTATTTTGGAATATATTTCGTTTCAGACCAGCCACTTGGTTACGATGGCGTGGATTTTATTAACGGCCGACGCAATTGCACGGAAAAATAATTTCTGAATTTATTTGCGGGTGAATTTTTAGAGAGGGAAGAAGAGAGAGCAAGCTGCTTGTTTGGAATATTGCCAGTCGATGGTCTCTCTCTCTCTCTCTCTCTCGCTTGGGTGAAATAATTAGAAGGCGGGCTGCTCTGCCACCGCCTTTTTCACATCGTCTTATCAACAAACTTTTTTGCTCATTTCCTGGCGCATTTTCCCCGAAAATAAATAAATCAGCCGGGGCAGCCGAGGAAATTGAGCGCGACGTTGAAATTAGTGGAGGCCTCTTAAGTGAATTTGGTACCTTTCAAAAACAAAGGGTCGACGCGAGTGCCGTTGAATGTCAGAAGTCGCTCGTCTGCCAACGGGGAGGAAGCTCTGTGATGGAGCAGGAAAACGGGGCAGCTTGTTCACAGGAGTGCAAAATCTGGTTCGTTAGTCAGTTGCCTAATTAGGTGAGTATTTGAAAAATTTCCCAGCCGATTCAATTATGAAGTTGACTGATAGCTAAATATCCAATAAGCTTAACATTTTCCATATTTTCTTGTATTTTTCTAATATTTAATCATAAAAATATTACTATTTAATAAAGTTTTTAAAGTGTTAGAAACGCTCTTCCTTACAAATTTATCACCTTTTGCTAATTGTGAGTCCAAACTAATGAAACGGCACTTTCAGCAGAATCAGTGTTGAATTTTTGACCCGAGAGCGAAATCGTCACCCTGTAATAAAAAAGCGGCACAACAAGGTAAGTCAATTAGGGGCGAGTTTAGAGCGGGTGCCTGCACGATGGCTAGTTATGCAACGTGGCGGTCGCGTATGTCGTGCGGGTTGCGAACAAACACACCTACGGTGGCCGGTGCTCACTCGCGGGGGCGACAATCGGACCGAGAGAAAGGGCCCTCATGCTCTCTCGTTCGCCCTGTCGTTCGTTGGTTCGAGAGAGAGAAGAGCGCGTCTAGGTAGTAAACATGGTCGATAATGCCAGTTTATCATGGCGGGGCGTGGAGGGGTGGAGGGCGGAGGGGGTGCGGGCGGCCGCTCCGACTCCTCTGGAGCAGCGAGCAACCCTCTCTCTTTGGCTCAGATAAAGTATGGATGTGTCAACATTAGGTTGGAAAGCAGCATCTCCAGTTACCAGAATCAAAGCGAGAGAGAGAGAAGACCCTTTACTCTCCTCCTTTTCCTTTGCTTTGCTTCGGCTACAACCAACAATGCCATTTCGCAATTTCATTTGCAGCCCGAATCCATCTCTCTCGAGCAGAGAGCGCCGCCGCTACGTGCTCTTTGCACTTGATTGCTCTTCTTATTAAATAAAAAGTGTAAAATGTTAGTCCCGCGTGACACTTGCCTCAGCAAACAAACCGACTGTGCGAGAGAAATAATAAAGGGATTCTGGTAAAAAGCCCCTTCCTCGCCGACGAATGAAAATGAACTCGATTTTTCATGTCGCAGGCAACACAAAAAAGATCAACCTTCATTGCTGTTATTTTTAACGCGGAAATTTGCTGTTTCCGCCCATCAAATTGATTTAAAATATAATTCTTTTTTCTTTTGAAAAAATTATTAAACAATTCACGAAAAATATTAAGCATGTTTTTGAAAACATGTTGAAGAAAATTAAAGAAAAAAAAATTGTTTATGCCTTATAAATCGAAAGTAAAATAATTTCAATAATCTGAAATTATCATACTTTCCTTTTCTTTTTTCAGTGATTTTGGAATTTTAATTTATGCAATGTTGAGATTTTAACCTATTTAAAGTGTTACGTAACTTTTCACAGCGCAGAGAAAATTAAATGTTTCGTAACGAAATTAACTCTGTCCGCCAAGAGAGAATGAAGAAAGAGAGGTCTCCATTTAGCTCGGTTTCCGAATCTGCGGGGCGGAAGAGAGGTGCAGAAAGAATTTGCTTGCCTCTCTTTCGCATTTCTCCGACGAAATAAATTGAATTAGGCCCGGCCCCTTCGCAGGCAGCGAGCGAGAGCAAGCGAGGGCAGGTCGAGATGAGTGC